GTGCTTGGTTTAAACCATACAACGATTTCTTGACTTTGCACACCAATTAAGGTTTTGTTGTGGTTTATATACTTTTGTTGACTTGAATTCTGCTTTTCCAACGTGCATAACCAATTTGCGTGGTCATATATACATCCTCTTCTAGGTCACCATGTAGAAATGCATTCTTTACATCCATTTGTCACACAAACCAGTTCTATATGGCTGCTATAGCAAGCAAGGATCTTACAGTGCTCATCTTTGCTACAGGAGCAAATGTCTCTTCATAGTCTATTCTATGTTTTTGCCTGCAAACCAATGCTACCAATCTAGCTTTATATCTCTCAATTGTTCTATCTGAATTCAGTTCAGTTTTATAGAGCAATTTACACATAATAGCTCTTTTACCTGGTGGCAATTCTATTATTTCCTAGGTTTCATTTTTCTCAGGGGCATTTATTTCCTCATTCATTGCAGTTACCCATCACTCTTCCTTCACAGTTTCTTTGTAGTGAGTTGGGTCTGACTTATTCAAAATCTGAGCTAAGAATGCTGCAAACTATGGTTCCATGGCAACTGATACAGAGTTTGCTACACATGTAGCCTGAGGTTTCTTGAGACAAATTTCATAGTCTTTGGTCCAAGATGAATGTTTTCTCTCCCTACTTGATCTACTCAATTCAGGTTGGGGTGCTTGGTTGCTGACTGGTTCTTGCATTTCAATTTCTATTGCCAAGTATTCTGACATGTGGTGCTCTAGCACCATTTGTTCTATATCCATAACTTCTTTACTTTCTTCTCTGTCCCTAGAGCTTTCTTCATTTATATTCTCTGTATCCGCATCATGTTGTTCATCTTCCCTATCTTCACTTATGTGTTCCATGTCCTTAGGAATCTGTAAAGGCATTGGAGTTCTGGACTCTTAAGTAGAGTTCCTTTTGTTGTAGGGAAACACTCTCTCATAGAATTTAACATCCCAAGAGAAAAATTGCTGATGAGTGATCAAATTCAGCAATTTATATCCTTTTTGTCTATGAGCATATCCCAAGAGCACACATGGTACTCCACTAAGAGCAAATTTCTCTTTGTTTAAAGTTGGATTGTATGCCACCGGTAAGACATCCAAACACTTTCATACAAGAATAATCTGGCTTCATCCCAAACATTATCTCATAAGGAAATTTTCCTGCATTTATAGAGTTAGGCAACTTGTTTATGATATATGTGGTTGTAAGCACACAATCACCCCTGAATTGCAAAGGTAAGCCTGCTTCAAATCTCAATGCTCTTGCCATTTCAAGGTTATTTTTGTGCTTTCTCTCAACTCTTCCATTCTGTTGAGGCCTGTCTTCACATGATATTTGATGCAAAATACACAAATCACCAAAGAATTCCCTATATTTACCATCATCAAATTCAAGGGCACTGTCTGATCTCATTAATTTAACACTGGCATCAAACTGAGTTTTAGCAAACAGAATGAAATTTCTAATTTCCTTGTAAGCACCAGATTTCAGCCTCAATAGCTCAACCCAAGTTGCCCAAGAATGGTCATCCACTATGTTGAGGAAGTACCTGTAATTTTCCTTTGTACTCACTCTTTATGGTCCCTAAATATCAATATGTATCAATTCAAACAATTTCTTAGCATAAGATTCACTAGAAGAGAATGACAGTTTAATAAATCTTGTCGTAGGGAAAGTCAAACACACAGAATATTTACACACATAAAACTCATTTACACTACCAATTTTGACTATTTTTTCCATAGGAGAATGTCCCAGTCTACTGTGCCACAAGTTGCACATTTCTAAGTTAGAACTATTACAAAATGGTCTTTTCTTTATCTTCTCTTCTCTTCTCATCCTCCTTCTTACTTCTTTCTTCAGAGTAAAATAGATTACTTACAGCTTTCCCAGCTGCCTTATTCTTCTGGGTTGCACAGTCTTGAATAACACATTTTTCAGGTTAAATTTCACTTCACAAGCATTATCTTTCATTAACTTTCCAACTGACAGCAGGTTATGTTTGAACTTAGGCACACACAACACATTATGCAATTTCAAACCATTTTTCAACACCATGTTCCTTGTGCATGATATACTTGTAGTTTTCCCAATAGGTAAGTTAGTTTTTCCTTTAACATTCACAGGTTCACATGTTTCTAACTGTTTGACATCTCCTATCATGTGGTGAGTAGTGCCAGAATCAATTATCCACCTATTCTCAATATTGAAAACATTATGACAAAATATCATACCGGTAAAGTTCGCATCAATTTCTTCCTCGGTTTCATAGCCAGATTTTCCTGGCTTTAAGGTTGCTGGAACAAGTTTGAGAAATTGCTTTAACTATTGAGCAGTGATGAAAACAGCTGCTTAGAGCTTTGAGCATTACCAGCCAAGTTCAGTCCCGTTCCTCCTTTCTGCTTGTTCCATTTAGTTTTCCTAGTGCTTTTCTATTTGGCTTGCAGCTTCCTGTATTGTGGGTGCCACTCAGGATATCCTATCACTTTCCAACAATTCTCAAGTGTATGAGTCTTCCTGCCATACGCAGAACAACCAGAGGTTCTACCTTCTTATCTCTCCTGATTTCTAATGTCTGGTCCATTGTTGCCCTGACCTCCACTGTACAAAGCAGTGGACTCCCCCTCATCTATAACACTGTTTTCACTGAAGGTTTCTTTTTGAGATTCTTCTTGCAGTAGTGAGGCACGAGCTGCTTTGAAACTAGGTAGTGGTGATTACATCAACAACTGGCTTCTTTGAGCAGTATATTCACCATCAAGTCCATTTAGAAATTGAAACGACGGTTACTCTTCTTTCTGCAAATTCAATGCATTCACAAATGCATTGATATCAGATGTCACACTTGTGATAGGTGTCAATATGTTCATACTACCAATTCCTGCCCACAAAGATCTGATTTTGGTGTAATACTCACTTATAGAGTCACCATTTTACTTGATTTCATACACTTCTTTGTTCAACTTATACTTTTAAGCACCATTTATTTGCAAGAATCTGGTTTCAAGCTATCCAGATCTCAGATCCAAAGTCAAGAAACATTATTATAGACTTTTTCACAATGTCTGTCATGTTGCTTGTAAACCATGCTATCACCATTCTATTGCATGTATCCCACTGATTTGCTTTCACATCATCACCTGTATCCTTTTTTATCGGACCGGTAACAAATCCCAGCTTCCTCTTTGAGGCCAAGTTAATCTCCATGGACCTCCTCCACTCTCTACAGTTACCTTCCCCTGTCAGTTTCTCCATTGATACAAAGTGTTGCCCATCTCTAGGATGGAGATAAAGTGGATTTTGCATATCAGCTAGCGAGATCTTCGACATTTCCTAGGTTAAAGATTTGAACTTTAAAAGTTATAGGGTGAGATTTTGTAGAAAGGTTTGAACTTTGGAGTGTGATATTGCAGGCTAGAAAAGATATGATCTTTACTTTCACTAAACTCTTGCTGTGTCGAACCAAAGCTCTGATACCATGAAGGCAAAGTATGCCTTGATATTCAAGAATGTTATGAATGCAAGAGAGTGAATGACAAAGAAAGCAGAGAGAAAGTGGCAGCTCAAGGATTATATGTGTGTATTATTCAGCCCATATTTATAGCATACACATATATATACTACTAGGTTTTCAATTCCTAGAAAGATCTTGCTGATGACTCACTAGGATAGTTGTCCTCTAACACTACAAGACAAAGCAGTATGTAAATACAATACAAAGAAGAAATAGCTAGAAAATATATACAAACACTCTATTCCTCTTGATCACATCTTAATTTTAAAATTTTGTTACCAAGTAAATTAGCAAAAGTCACGAATAACAAACTGTTAAGAAATTGCATAACAATCATGGGAAAATAATTCTTTCCAATTAGATACATAATTAGTTTGACTTCAGATAAACAATTCCTAAGCATCCCCCAAAAAGTGTTCCTTTCAAATTAGCTTACGTAATTAGAAACAATACATAATTAGTTAAGCAGAATAATTAACAAGCATCCCCAACAAAATTAGTCCATGCAAAATTCCTTAATGTTTAATGTAGGCATAGTTAATGCTACGAATTAACGGGTAATTAACCATTAAGGAATCTAGAAAGAAACTGTGGTGGTAATGCCGACGGTTCATTAAATTTGAATCTCGTGGACTAAGTAGAGAATCAAATCTTGGGGCTCTATTCTCTCCCTAATTGTTAATCAACTTGCTCCGTGGAAATCATGCTTCAAAGGTATAATTATGTGATTCTTGTGTGTTATGCATGCGATCTTATTTTAGGTGCGTATGAATATGATTCATGAAATTCCGCTAAGAGTACCTAAATCCCTACATGTTTCTCTATGGTACAGAATGTTAGGCTTTTAAGAATGAGTACATTAAAAAGATAGAGGTTAGGAAATTACGCATGTTAAGATGGATGTGCGGGAACACTCTAAGAAATTGAATCAGAAATGAAGTTATTCACAAGGAAGTGGATGTCACAAGCATTACAGACAAACTAAAGGAAAATCACCTACGTTGGTTGGAGCATGTAAGACGGAGACCCTAGGGTGCACCAGTACGAAGAGTGGAAGAGTGGGATCAGGGAGAGGTTAAGCGAGGTAGAGGAAGACAAAAAATGATTTCGTTGGAAGGAGTTGGAAGGATATGAAGTCTATGAATTTAAATGAGGATGAGATATTTGATCGTAAGGGATGTAAGAGGAAGATTTTTGTGGATGAATATACAGAATTATCACTTTTGGTTAATGTAGCCAACCCCACTTGGGAGATTAAGGCTTTGATTGATTGTTTCCATTTGCTTTGCATTAACACTATGTATACCTGTTATACTAATCCTCCTCAAACCCTGGTGTAACATAAACTTCATATATGATAAATAAGCTCAATTTATTATACAAATGTTCCAAAACTTACAAATATATGTCAAAATAAGCCTTGAATTCCGAACACTTGACAAGACGCTTTGATAAGACATCAGTCTTTAACGCATTTATGTTCAACGCCTTAATCTCAAGCACGTGGAAATCTTCTTAATAGTTAAAGTAATAGCACGAGCACACATCCCAGTGAGGAAATAAATGATGAGAAAGGCTTTTAACATGAATGCCACGACAAGACGTTTCCTCATCAATAGGATAATTACACTACAAAGCACACAAGTGGAGATAGCTAAGGAGGGGTTAGAGGAATAAGTTGTTACATATACACCCGCCATGAACGCTACTAGAGTTGAATAGAATGATACTTGCAACAAACAGATGGTCATATCCACAAGCAATAGGTCCTCGCTTGAACAAATATGAGATGTTGTAAGAAACCATATAAGGCAGAATAAGACCATAATGGAGCTGCACATCCCCAATAAATCTGAAAACATAAAGACCTTAAACATAACTTTCTTCGCTAAAACTGGAGTTCCATTCTCGTCATTACTCCCTCTTGGAAGAGTAAATGCGGCTGTAAATGTTAATGTTGTAAGTAAGGCAGCCACCAACCCAAGTGAGCTCATGTGTTCCTTTATTTCTTTCTTATGGATACCATATAAACTTCTACCAGCGGTCCATGCAAGTTCATTCGGTAGTTCGGAAAATTTTGAAGAAAAGAAATCTAGAAACTGAAACCAAAATTCAAGATAAATAATCAACTTATTTTCATATTTTGTTAAGGAGAAAGGAATTCATATAATTTTTATTGACTATATAAAACACTAAAATTATATATTAACGTTGATTTTTTATTCTTAGAATTGAAAACACTTTCCCCCAAAACAATCACATCATAAATATTAATGTAACCTTGAAACATAAATTCTATGTAATATTAATTATATTAAAACACATACTTACCCAACGAGGAATGTCTTGGGTTATGGCTAGTAAATCAGGAACTATCCTCATATTATAATCCAGTATATTCCACCATCCCTTAAGCTCATCCAAATTTTCCAATAAAAACTTTACGGTCCCAAATTCGTTGTTCTTTATAGCAAGGTGTAATGGCATCTCTTCCTTATTATCACTGCTTCTAATGAAAACCCCCATATGTGGAACAACTTTAAGAAACTCTCTGATTCTATCATCATTACGTCGAAACTTTATCCAGTGAAATATATTTCGACCTTCATAGTCATATTGTTTTATTGATTGGGGACAATGGTATAATATTCTCATAGCTATTCCTAATAGATCACTATGAACCGCTCTCAACAAAGGAGTAAAGCCATCGGAATCTCTTGCATAGGCTGACGAGTCATCTTTTTCAAGCAACAAGTCCACAATGTGTGAAATGTCAGATATAGCAGCTAAAGCAGACCTTTTAACTGTAAATATGACAAAAAAAAAAAATCCACTAACCTTAAGTATCAGAATGAACCAAATAACAAGACTAGAAACAACGATCAACATTTAATAATAGCACATAGGATTATAACAGTTACACGACTAGTAGCTCGTATTTTGTATAGATTTGAGTTATATTCAACTATTGTCATTTTAGGCCAATTGCAAACACTAGCTTCCTAGAAAGCATAACATTAATTAATTAGGCTTTTAAGGTATACAATATAAAAATAAGAATAAAATAGGTCAAAATAAGTATACATTATATATAGAACATACTTATATGAGTAACAATAAACGAAAAGTATTTTTAAGGTATAATATTCATTTATGGTATACATTATTCATTTATACCTTAACAGTATACAATAATTTATTTTGAAAATGTAAACATTTATACCTTAACAATATACAATCTTCATTTAAGGTATACATTATTTAAGGGATATACTGTAATACCCTGTATTTTTATATGAATTTTAACTTAAATAAGTATTTTTTAAAGTATTTAAATAATTCGAAATGAATTATTTATGGTGTTTCATTAATTTAAAAATAATTATTTTAATTAAAGGTGTATTTTTAAGGGATATTCTCAATGGTAACCCCCTATTATTGCTACGCACCAATGGTAACCCTCTTTTTTTGGATTATACAAAATGACACTAATTTTATTTTTTCTCCTAAAAATGACATTAATGATGGTGTTTTAACATAAAATAGTCATTAAAATTAACTATGGTTAGTTTTTTTTTAATAATTAATAATTATAAAAATATTTATAAAAAAAATAAAAAATAAAAAAAACCCAAACCCTCTCCCACCCACCAGCCAGTCAGCCACCAGCTCTCTTCCTACCGGCGCCAAGCACCCTCCACTCCCGGCCGACGCCGGCGATGCCCAGCCTCCCCCGCCCCACCCTCCTCTCATTCCATAAACCCGATGCCCCCACCCAGTCACTGCAGCAGCCTCACAATTCACACCTCCATCTCAATAGCCATAGCATCACTAGCCATATCCCACCGTTAATTAACAAGACGATCGGAGCCTAGCTGCACAACTCTCCAATCAACGGAAACAACAAACACCAAAGCAACCCCCCTGCTCCACCCCTGCAGCCCGTGACATCACCTTCTACAACAACGCCCTGCCACAGGCGCATCCTAGCAACCTCTACTCACCCCCCTAACGCTGCAACAACAATGACAGCAGCACAAGCAACAACAACCACCGATTCGCTACCTGCAGCCACCAATTCACCACTAATTCACCGCCCATTCACCACCAATTCACCGTCCATTCACCGTAAACAGCAATTCAGCACCCAATTACTACAATTCTGGGGGCTTTAATTGCAGCAATTTGGTAAAGAACATCTTCAATCTTGAACTCCAATTAAGACCTAGATGGGGCAAGGGGAGAATCCATGGCTGCTGGAAGGAAGGGTGGGACAGGCGCCGAAAATCAAGATGGAGGAGAGCAAGCTGGTCTGGTGGGGTAGGGGAAGCCGGAAAGTTAGCTTGGTGGGGGGAAGGGGAGTGGTGGACTAGCGAGCTGGTGGAGAGATAAGGGTTTTTTATTTTATTTTATTTTTTAAAATAAAATCTGTCAAATAAAAGGTGGCATTTTTGTCATTTGGATATTTTGGTTAACCATGGTTTAATTTTATGTTAAAACACCATCATTAATGTCATCATTAGGAGAAAAAAGATAACTATGGTCATTTCGTATAATCCAAAAAAAGGGGGGTTACCGTTGGTGCGTAGCAATTGTAGGGGGTTACCATTGAGAATATCCCTATTTTTAATTACTTAACAATCTTGAAAATATTTTATTTCATGATTTGGAAACTTTGGGGCATATTATTTTATAAAAGGAAATTTTAAAGTCAACGAGTTTTTAAGGAAAGTCAAAATACTAGTTTGAATAGGAAAGGAATCATTAAGGGTAGTAAAGGAATTTTAAGTTGGAGGGTTATAGAGAGAGGATATAAATACCCATCATATGAGCAAAACCAAACTTTGCCCAAGGTGGAGAATACCCAAAGGTAAACTCTCTCTCTCCTCTTATTTTCTTTTCCCCTTAATTTTTCCCCTTCCCCTTTATTTTTATTTTGTTTCGTCACCACCCACACACCACCACCACCGGCCGACCACCACCACAACCACCACCCGCCAAGTGCCACCACCAGCGAGTGCCGGCAGCAACAACACTGACCGGCAAGCGCGACGGCAGCCTTGCCGTGGTGGTGCTGTGCGCGCACCTTCAATGAAAAGAAAAAAAATTCTTCTTTTGATTTTTAATTAATTCCACCCTTTATCTAATTATTGTTTTTGGGTTTTGTGATGATTTTTATGATATTTGATAATAATTATTTTTTATATAAATTTTCAGACTTAGTTTTGAATTAAAAAGCCCCAAATTATAAACCCTAGGTTTCTAAGTTTATGTATATTGATGGAAATTGTTTGTGGGTGATTTAAATTATTGAAATAAGTTTTTAAAACACAATTACAGCAATTTTAGATGATTTAATAAAACTGTAATATATAAGCTATAATTATGTTTCTTGAAAGGATTTTTAATTACCCATTGATTGGGAATAAAAGTATGGGTTTAAATTAAATTTTAGCTTACTTTAGAGGGTTTATGAGTGATTTAAAGAGTGTATATATTACTGGAAATTTATGTGGAATAGGTATTAATGCCTCTTTGTAATTTTGGTTTGTAGGAGGTTTCCAAGTGAGTGATTTTATTTAGTCATGGCGATTTTGAGATTGTATTCAAGGTACGTTCGCATACTTGGTAATTATTTGAATATGTAGAAGTATGCTAGGCTTTGTTAATTAATTCCAAGTAGTATCATGATAGGTGTCTGTTGGAATTCGTTTATTGGATTGATGATTGGTAAATGATTTGTGATGTATGAATTATTTATGATGAATTGGTGATTGGAATTAATTATGTTAGCATGTTGATTATTAACCACACTTTATTGATGGCATGATAGAGAGCATGTTTAATTAAACTAAATGTTTAATTTAGTTTGGAATATGAAAAGGAAATTTTATTATGGTTCATATAATTTTTATTGATGTTATAAGCATGAGGAAGGAGTTATTTAAGTGTCTATGTACAAGAGCATTGAATTATATTTTTGGTGCCTAAGTGCACTTAAGGTGTTTTAAACACCAAGGGATGGGATTTGTGGTGCTTTATGTGCTTAAGCTGTAGAAAGGATTCAACATTAAATTTATGTGATCACTAATTATTCGAGAATTAATTTGGTATGTTTGATTGCTTGAATGAATTGTAATGATCGATTGTATTATGGTTTGAGAGTCATCACTAAGTCTAAAAATATGTAAACAACGTAAAGTGAAAGAGATTACGCACCAAAACTCTTGGAACGTATATACCTTGAGTATGAACATATTGGGGGAGTTATGCGACTTTATATTTGACTATAAATTTTACTAGGAGTATAAGACGTTGTATATTCCTTTTTATTATGCGCAGGAATTCCGCCACTTACGAGTGGTTCTTTTATACTGGCACGGTTAGCTCCCGTATTATACCCCTTTACTGGGGCAGGTTAGGGGAGAACCCGTTTGATGCATAATCAAATTAAATGGACATTGGTATTTGTCTAGTTAAGTGTTGAATGTCTTGTATGCTTGTTTACAGGTGCAACAAGGTAAGTTGTGTGATGATAGGATGAAAGCATGTTAGTGTGTTTTATTACACTTATGCATTGGTGATTGTGTGTTGTTTGTTTGGCCTTGTCTTTACCTTGGCCCTACGAAGACCCATTTCTAATGGTGAGTAGTGGGGACAAGTAGAGAGAAGTTTTTCTGGTGATGAAGCATTTTCATGATGGGCATGAGTGAAGAGCGAATCATGCTTAGTTCCCATAGGAATATGATGTGTTTTATTTGCTTTGAAGATTATTATTTTATTATGCTCATGAGACTAACGTAAAGGTTTTCAGTATTGTTGTAAGTTGACTTTGTTTGACTTTACTTTCTTTTGGTTTGACTTTTAAGTTGACTTGTTTTGGATAGTTTTTAAAATATAGTCTTCTGCTGTGTGTCTTTGATATTTGTCTTAGCCGTTTTAACGGTGGCGGTAATGTCTTAGAATTTCCTATTTCGTATTTTAAAAAGGGCAAAACAGGTATTTTAAAGGAAAGGAATTTCTAGGGTATTACATATACTTTTAAGATGAGCTACAAAATTACATACATCAAATCAAAATGTAGCAAAGGCTTCACATGTGATATGGATAAGAAAAGTTCTTATAAAGTCTTTCTACAAAGAAATGAATAAAAGTTGTATTAAATCGTTTAATACACATTCGATTCCTATAGAGAGCACGGGGTATTACTACACAAGTCATACTTAAGACAAAATGTTTGTTGCTCAAGTAAATGCCCTTCTAGAAAAGATGTCAATTCCAAAAGGTCAAGTGGGAGTAGTGTAAATCTCGAAAGAGTTTCGAGAAAAGCAACAAACGAACATGGTTCAAACCATGATTGATTCACCCCATGCTAATGTGTCTCTTCAGAAAGGCAAGTGGGAGTATATGAATCTCGAAAGAGTTTGAGAGCCTCAAAGGAGTTCGAGAAAATTTAATTCGAAAATCTTGAAGAAATTCGAGAAGTAATCGAATAAAAGCAACAATATGAGCATGATTCACCTCATATTATAAATGACAACGCGTGGTCTCATTAAGTGTAATAGGAATAATAACCATGTGTTAAAGGCAATACATTCCAAGTGCACACCCTCTATTTTCGTTTCTCATTGAAAATTAAACAAAGTTGTTGTATAAGTTTTTTATTGTTGCATAAAAACCCACAATGATGACTAGCATATGTAAAACTTAGCCAAAGAAATATGATTTCACATTGAATAAGAGTTCTAAAATATTGATTTTGGAACATTATGATTATGCAAGTAATAAAGATTATTTGAGAAGTTATAACTCCAAGTGGTTTAAAAACCATGGAAATTTGAAATAGATTCTAAGTCTGTAAGCAAGTGTATGACACTTGATTAATTTGCCTAATTGGTTAAGACTCATTATAAGCAACACAGACAAGATAGAAAAATGTTTTCTAACCAAAGCAAAGACTTGTTAAAGGATTCAA